CCAGAGGTCATTATCTATCTATGTCATTAGTACCAAGGAGTACAAAGAGATGAGGTCCGGCAGAGTGAATACAGGGAGTTAGGCAGGAGGTTTAAAAAGCAGGACCTCAAGGGTATTAATCTCTGGATTACTCCCAGTGCCACATGGTAGTGTGAATAGGAATAGGAGGATAGGGCAGATGAATGTGTGGCTGAGGAGCTGGTGCAGGGGGCAGGGATTCAGATTTTTGAATCTTTGGGATCTCTTCTGGGACAGAGGTGACCATACAAGAGAGATAGGTTGCACCTTTACTGGAGGGGACCAATATCCTGGTAGGCAGATTTGACAGAACTACTCAGAAGAGCTTAGTCTGGCAGGGGTGTGAGACCCAAAACAGTAGTGAGACAAAAGAGAATGTTGAAGCTAGTGGAGAAGTTAAAGACAGAAAGTTAAATAGACCAGCCAGGCACGAGCACAGCAGGGAATGAGGGAAGACTGAAGAATTAAACTGAATTTATTTCAATGCAAGAGGCCTGACAGGTAAAGCAGATGAACGCAAGGCATGGAACTGGCATATCATAGCTATTGCAGAAACATGGCTGAGGGAGGATAGGACTGGCAGCTCAATATTCTGGGGTACAGATACTATAGAGAGGAGAGAAGGGGAGAAACAGGAGGGGGAGTGGCATCTTTGATTAGGAAAAACATCAAGGCAGTAGTGGATATTCCTGTAGGATCGTTCAGTGAAGCTATAGAATTGGATCTGAGAAATAAGGGTGCCCATTAGTCAGCAGGAAATTGAGGAGCAAATATATGGAGCATTCTCAAACATGTGTAAGGATATTAAGGTTGTAATAGTAGGAGATTTTAACTTTCCAAACATTGACTGGGACTGCTGTAGTGTTAAGGGCTTGGATGGGGAAGAATTTGTTAAATGTGTTCAAGAGCACTTTCTCAATCAATGTGTAGATGGCCCTACTACAGAAGAGGCAAAACTCAACCTCCCCTTAGAAATAAGGCAGGGCAAGTGACTGAGGTGTTAGCAAGGGAGCACTTTGGGACCGGTGACCATAATTATATTAGTTTTAAAATAGTTATTCAAAAAGATAAGTCTGGTCCACAAGTTAAAGTTCTAAATTAGGACAAGGGCAATTTTGATCGGAGGAGGCAGGAACTTTCAAAAGTTATTTGGGGGAGACTGTTCACAAGCAAAAGGACATCTGGCAAGTGAGACGTTTTCAAAAGTGAGATAATGAGATGGAAAAAATGTTCCTGTTAGCATAAAGGGTAAGGCTGGCAGGTGTAAGGAACACTGGATGACGAGAGATAGTGAGGCTCTGGTTAAGAAAAAGGAGGCATATGTCAGGTGCAGACAGTGAATTCCTTGGGGAGTATGGAGGAGTAGGAGTACACTTGAGGGCAATCAACATGAGATAGCTTCGGCAGATAAGGTAAAGAAGATTCCAATCCAAAGTGATTCCACAAGTACAATAAGGGCAAAAGAGTAACAAGGGAGAGAATAGGGACCTTCAACACGGTCATCTATGTGTGGAACCACAGGATATGGGTGAGATCCTAAAGGAATATTTCCTGTCAGTATTTACTGTGGAGAAAGACATGGAGGCCAGGAAATTTGGGAAAATAATTTGTGATGTCTTGAAAAGACTGCACATTACAGGAAGTTCTGCAGATTTTAAAACGCATAAATGTTGAAAATCTCTGGGATCTGATCAAGCACATCCCATGACATTGTGGGAAGCTAGCGAAGAGAGCCACAAGGGAGGTGCTGAAAGGCTGAAGGGTAGCTAATGTTGTGCCACTATTTAAGAAAGGCTGCAAAGAAAAGCCAGGGATCTACAGGCTGGTGACCCTGATGTCAGTGGAGGGCAAGTTGTTCTGAGACAGGATCTACATGCATTTAGAAAGACAAAGGACCGATTAGGGATAATCAGCATGGCTTTGTGCATGGGAAGTTTTTTTTGAAGAGGTCACCAAGAAGATAGTTGAAGGCAGAGCGTTAGACATTGTCTATATGGAATTTAGCACAGCCTTCGACAAGGGTTCTGCATAGTAGGTAGGTTATTAATGTTAGATCATATGGGATCCAGGGAGAGCTAGCCAAAATCGGCTCAACAGTAGGAGTCAGAGATCAGTGCTGCAAGGACTGATGCTGAGTCTACTGTTGTCCATCATTTATATAAATGATTTGGATGAGATTATAGGGGGCATAGTTAATAGATTTGTGGACAACACCAAAATTGGTGGTATAGTGGACAGTGATGAAGGTTATCTAAGAGTACAACGGGATCTTTAGCAACTTGGTCAATGGGCTGAAGAATAGCAGATGGAGTTTAATTTAGATAAATATGAGGTGTTGTGTTTTGGTAAAACAAACAAGGGCAGGACTTACACAGTTAATAGTAGGGCCCTGAGGAGTGCTGTAAAACAGAGAGACCTATGGGTTTTTGGTAAATAGTTCCTTAAAAGTGGTGTCACAAGTAGACAGGGTGAAGGTGGTGTTTGGCACGCTTGCCTCCATCGGTCAGAGTACAGAGTACAAGAGTTGGGATGTCATGTTACAGTTGTAGAAGACATTGGTAAGGACACGTTTGGAGTATTGCACACAAATCTGGTCACCCTGCTATAGGAAGGATGTTATTAATCTGAAAAGGGTGCAAAAAAGATTTACAAGAATGTTACCAAGGCTGAAAGGTTTGAGTTATAACGAGAGGTTAGGACTTGTTTTTCCCTGGAGTGTCAGATTCTGAGGGGTGACCTTATAGTGGTTCATAAAATCGAGGGGCACAGATGAAGTGAATAGCCAAAGTCTTTTTCCAGGGCAGAGGAATCCTAGAGAGCATAGGTTTAAGGTGAGAATGGAAAGATTTAAAAAGAGACCTTGGGCAACATTTTCACGCAGAGGGTGCTGCATATATGAAATGAGCTCTAGAAGTGGATGACACTGGACAATTACAACATTTAAAAGACATTTGGATAGATACATGGATAGGAAAGGTTGAGACGGATGGTCCAAACACAGGCAAATTGGACTAGTTCAACTGAGGAAATCAGGTCAGCATATACATGTCTGGCTGAAGGGCCTGTTACCATACTAAATGACTCTAACCTATTACTTATCAATGTCAACTTCTTCTTCCTCATCTTCGTACCCCAAAGAAATTTCTATGATCACTGCCTTAATCCACGGATATTATAAAATCGGTCTCCAGATAGTAATCAAGGTGTTTTTCCTGATGGATTATAAGAGCTTTAGATATTAAAACCTAAACATTATTAAAACTGTAGGGGCTTAGAGATTAAGGTTTGGTGTGAATTAAATTGAGTTTAGAAGGCTGAAGCAGGATGTGATCAAGGTGCTCAAAATGTTAAAAGGATAACAAAAAAAAATGCAGAGAAACTTGCCAATGACGGTAGAAACAATGAGTGATGGGACATCTTAAAATTAGAACTAGACCATTTAAGAGCAAAACGAGGACCACCTTTTCCACACAGGTACTAGAAATCCGATAATCTCTTCTTCAAAATGGCTACAGGATAACTGGAGATGGAGCTATGGCAGCTAAATGAGCTGAGGTATGAACCAGCAGTGATCTAATTGAATCATGCAGCAGACTCAAAAGCCCACTTGTTTCTATGATTACAGATATCAAAAAAATTAGCAAAAGCATTTAAATCAGTCATAGAGTTAGAATAAAGTTTTGGCAAAGATCTGTAGCTAAGGTTGTGAATGAGGTTGTTGACTTGCTTACTTAGCTGGCTCATTTTTGTTCAAACGTTTCGTCGCCATGCTAGGTGACATCATCAGTGGAGCCTCTGATGAAGCGATGTTATTCTACTCTGCTTGGAATTTATACTGTCTGGTCTGTTATGGTGAGTACTGTCATTCCCTGTTTTGATCTGTATGGGTTTGTATATGAGGTCCAATTCTAACCCATACAGATCAAAACAGGAAATGACAGTACTCACCAAAACGGACCAGACAGTATAAATTCCAAGCAGAGTAGAATAACATCGCTTCATCAGAGGCTCCACTGATGATGTCACCTAGCATGGCGACAAAATGTCTGAACAAAAACAAGCCAGAGTTAGAATCAGAGTCGTACAGCATGGAAAGAGACAGTTCAGTCCAACCAGTCCACGCTGAACATAATGCCAAACTAAACTAGCCTTACCTGTCTGCTCCTGGCCCATATCCCTTCAAACCTTTCCTATTCCAAATGTCTTTTAGACATTGTAATCGTACTCACGTCCACCACTTCCTCAGAAGTTCATTTCACACGCGAACCACCGTGTAAAAAAATTGCCCCTCGTCTTTTTTTAAAATCTCTCTCCTCTCACCTTCAAAATGTGCCCCCTTGTCTTGAAATCCTCAGAATAATCTGTTATAAAGAAGCTGCAAACTTAACAATGTGACTGCTGCCTAGATTTTATAGGAATGCCAAGAAATGTTGCACAGCTAGAACCAAATACAGTAGTTTCAGCTACTGAAACACTGTCAAGCTATGATTGCCTTTTTTTTTTAATAAGGAAATTGCTGCAAGGTAAATGATACACTACAATATATTGTACATATTTCTTTTATTCAGTAGTTGTCAAAAAGAACAAACTGGTATATATTGAATAGAGTAGCACAATTGGAATTATGAAATATAAATATCAAATTTAGAGCAGACTTAATTAACCTTGAACTCTTACAACATCTTTCGACAATCTGAAGTCATGTTTTCTGATTCCATGTTATGCAATTAAACTATCTATAATTACTTTCTTAAATTGAGGTTATTACCAACTAATCCTAGAAAAGTGTAAAAAAAATGTTTTCTAAATTCTCTCACAGGCTGCACTTGAATATGATCTAGCATTTCTAGTAATGGCTTCTGTATATTCATATACAAATAATCAGTTGAGACCTTAAAAGCAAAGTATTCTTTACAATTAGAGCAATGGATGTTTTCAAACTAATTTATGGTGGTATTACAATAATCAATCATGACTAAGAATTAAAAAAAAATGCTTTTATTTTCAAATCATGAGAGAATACAATTTAAAACTGGTCGTTCACTGACCAGAGTCCCAGCAGATCCGGATTCAAATTTTGGATAAGTTTAATATCCAAAAACGCTAAAAATACTATAAACAAAAACAGAAGTTGCTGGAAAAGCTCAACAGGTCTGTCAGCACCTGTGCAGAGAAATCAGAGTAATGACCCTTCACTGGCCCGGAAACATTAACTCTGATTTCTCTTCACAGATGCTGCCAGATCTGTTGAGCTTTTCCAGCAACTTCTGTTTTTTGTTTGATTTACAGCATCCACAGTTCTTTTGTTTTTTTACTAAAAATACCATGTTAACATTCACATATCCAACAGTTACAGAATTTTCTTATGGGTGTACGAAATACTTTTACTGATCCATTCATTCATGGAGAAAAACAATTTTGTTTTGATGATATTGAAGTATACATTTTCACAGTTATGAATTACCAGTTTGCTTTGATTGTTACAAAAACATTTGTGCTTTAATCCATTGTCCACAGAAACCTGTTGGTTGAGATAAAATATCAGCTTTTGTTTTTTTTTCCAGAAAACAATCAGTGCATGGAAAATAAAACCATAGTTATAAACTGTAGTAACCTCCTAGAACTTGATTTTCTCAAATCAATTAAAACACAATGACTAATATGCGATGATCAATAATTTTGATGCTACATAATATAGGTTATGCAAGATGTAGGAAACCATAGCAGTTTTCCCAAGTCTGATATAGATTTACTTTAGGTAAAGAAAAGCGCTCACTTTTACAAAACTATCTTTCCTAGTCTTTAGGGGTGTATTTTAGCATTGTTATTTAAACTATTGTAAATTAGGAGTAACACCTGTGCAATGGATGCTACAGAACTTGATGCATGATGGTTTTAATAAAGATGTAATAATTGATAAGCTGGTCAGGGAAAAGTATGACAAATTTCCGTGTAAATTATTTGTTACAGAGAGACAACAACTTTCAATTCCGAGAACTGAATGTACCTCTCAGAAGAACTTATGAATTAGATTTAAGTCCAGACAAGAAGTTATTTCGATTTTACAGAACTAGTTCAGGTAGTTTAGGCAATCAAAACATCCTGCATATAGCCCAGATGATTTCTCAACACTTTTCATACGGATCTGTTACAATTATCATGATTGCATTTAGTATCAAGGAAAGAAAAACAGGTTTTCTGTGTTACTTTATATACATGCACACAGTGAATTCATAGCAGTAAACACTCAAATTTACAACTGACATTTTTGTACAATTCCAAAATAATATTTGAATGTTAATCTTATTTTGGCATGGCATGTGTACATTCACAGCTTTCTCCTTACTTTTCTTCAACGTTTCTCAAAACATTACATTAGAATTCTTTGGCTCTGTAGCAATGAAACGCATAAGTCACATCACATAACATCACTGCACTTATGACAGCAAGTACTGTAACAGAATAAAAACCTACTGCAACATTACTTACTGCATACTCTTTCTCTACGGACAGAACAAAAACTAGTTTAAGGTGCCATAATAAGAACGTTCAAAAACTTCTGAATTCAAGTAAGACTAAGTTTTTAAACAGGTGAAGTGGATAACTAGCAATGAAGAGAAGCATTTCAATACATTGCAAATGAAATTAGTGAATGGCCTAAAATAATAATTACTTAATAAAGTTATACAATAAAAGGTAATGAAGGAGAACACAAACTTGACAGTTCTTTCAGACAATCTGCTGCATTTTCTGCAGATGGAAACATTTGTATATCAGTGCAAGCATCCACAAGACCAAAAATTACAGTGACTTACATGATTACATAATGCAATCACTTCTCTAAAAAAAAAGAAAACTACGATCTACTAAAAATATGCCACCATTAATTGGTTTAACTACATCATATGTGAATCAATATTCCTTCTGATAGCTTTTTTTCCAGATTAAACACCAGGTCTTACGTACATATTAGCAACCACTTGCTAAGTACAATACAAATACTTAAGTCACAGTTAGAAACTTCATGCCTGAAAGAACAGGAATGCAGTCAAAAGCAAAAGTAAAGTTATCTAATATTAAAATTAAGACCGTGAGCAACACTTCTGCCTTTAGAGAAAGATTTTACCAAATAGAGATATTAATGCAAGTCACAAAACAACTGTAACATATTAAGATGGCAATATTTCACTTGTTTTCCTTTGCGAATTAGTCATCTGATTTTAAAAAAAAAAGTTAAAATTCTTTTAGAATTCACCATTTTGGTAGTTAGAGTCCAACTCTCTAATCTCACATACAAACAAATTCTTAGCTGTCCACACAAAGTGCTTGTTGTGAATCACTATGGTTTTGCACGACCACCTTCAAAAGCATGATGTTCCTCATGAGCTGCAAAAAGATGTGGACAGCATTAATTCCATTTCTTAATGCTGACTTCATTAAGATATATAATAAAGTAAAAATAAAATGTTAGACACGCAAGCAATACAATCTTACATTTCAGGAAGTTCAACCTTCACCTATAAACAGCTTATGATGTTAAGCCAGAATGTCTGAACAGTTGGGTATTGTGCAAAATACCTTTCTGAAGATTGCAACATTGGAATCACAATGCAAGAAAGAACAATGAAATAGAAATAGTAAAGGCCAGAACTGACAAAGGGGTGAGAATAAACTCAGTTTCATGATTCTGGGCGAAAAGAAACCAAGAAGTGCGCTACATTTGTGCGAAGCCTCAAACACTGTAGTCTTATTCTGAATGTTGTTGAGTGACTGAGCTGTGAAACAAACTAAGTGGCTAAAAAAAACAACTGGATTGCTCTGGCTACTGTTCCTCTTGTATTCTAGTATTTTTATGGTCGTAATGTGCTGGGTTGACAATCAAATGCAATACAGATCACAGCCATCTGTCAATAAACGAGGTTACAGAGCAAGTCACAACCTGTTTAAATGTATAGTCCCAGTGTGGGTAATTGCCCGTATCTTGACAATAGTTTATATTTAGCTTTTGCAGTGCTTCTTAATAGCAAGGCTACTTGAAGGTGGAGTCATTTTGCATTTGGTCTTGAATGTAGATCTTATACTCGGTCTCTACTGGGAGGGGTCCCTTAAACCTAGATGAAGCTATAAGTCCCTCTACTTTGGTTGATACTGGTTAATGATCATATCAAGTGGAAGCTCTGTCTAAAATAGTTCTGTGGCCAGCACTGGAAGAAAACAACATAATTTTCAAGTTGGCAATAAACTTTGATTGCTAATGACACAGTGTAAAAGCATTTACTAGAAAATCCTTTAAAGAAAGGTTTCTTAATTGGCAGCTTGATACTTCCATTGACAAGTAAAATGGGCTGATTTAACAATCATCTTCTTGATCATACTTGTGCTATGAGTCAACCTGGATCAATACTTCAAACTGTTACAATCATTTCTGGATAGTATCTGTGGTCGATAAAGGCCAAATTTGGTTAAAGTCTGAATTGATAAGCTGATCAATGAGAGCCATAGGAACAGGGGTGGAGGACAACTGGGTTCATACAATATTGTCTACGACTATGAATTCTTGTGGACTGTGGATAGATGGGCATGCTTTGGGAATTGTTTCAGAAATGTTTCATGCTCTCTCTGGATTCCCTCCCTCTCGTTAGGGTAGAGGAACTGAACAAAACCTGAATATTTTCTTGGTTGAAAAATAGTCAAGTTTCAGCATTCTTACAGCCAGAATCACTTTCAGCAAATGATTGGTTGAGTTCCTGTATGAGTTTAGAACAGGCAGTGTGCTTACAAAATAGTTTGGCAATGAAAGTGTGCAACTCCATACAACTTGGAAAGCTGCCGGTTAGCATTGGCCTGTTATGTGGGGAGACGGGAAACAATTCAGCTGAAATAGGCCTCAGTGAGTTGTCCTTCAAAATGGCACTGCTGAGACAAAAAGAAGCTTCAGAATTTGCCTAGAAAACCCAAAACTTCAAAGTAACATCTTCTCTGGGAGGTCTGTAACTGCAAGAAGTTAGCTCAAACACAATTACTCCTTAATTTCTACTGTAGCAGACAAACATATTTAGTCAATGATCAGAGAAAAAGAAACACCGTCTCAAACAAAGTTTTATTTTGCAACTCAGTGGAGGAACATCAATTAAACTTTAGGACTCAAATTTCTTAAAGTGTGGATCAACAGCAACATTATTTATTTATTGATAGGCAAATAGAGTGATTTGAGGAGACATAATGAGATTTGCTCACAATTTAGCATCGGGTTTCATTTGATATATTGAACACCACAATTACCATCACCCACCACAATACACTTCTTTCTTAGATTTATTTACAGGAAATGGGATCCTAATGAACTTCATCTGTAAGCATGTTGCCTGCCCGAATGATCCATATTTCTTTACAAACAACTCAAATAATTCAGGAATATTAAAAATTGCATCAAACTGTAGAATATGGAATGCATTGTTGCTTAGTTTAGTTTTATTCTGTTCTTGGTATATGGTTGACCGGAAATGTAGCATTTATTATTCATTTTTAGTTGCCCTGAAAGCATCAAGTATAATTCACACAGAGACACATAGGCTAGAACAAATACAGGTGACAAAAACTCAGTGCAGGAAATACTCAACCAGTCATATGGCATTTGTAGAAACTGAAACATAGTTAACAGGCTGAATTTTACCAAATATGACCGAAGTGTTAACTTTGAGGAATTTCATGGAGTTCGTGGAGAAACCTTCCAGTCAATTCTCTCTCATAATTCTCCATTGCTCACCTCAAAATTCATGCACAAGATGCCCTATGGCACACTCTCGTGCAATCGTGCTCACCTGTGGTGGAAGTACTCATTGCTGCTGGTACCTTCTGGGATTCACACCAGAGGTGCCATATTTAAAACCTAGCTGTAGACCAATGCAAACACTGCCAGCAGGAATATACCTTCACAATACATTTCGGGAAACAAAAGAAAAGCTTCTAAGGGCACCTAGCTGGCATAAGGTGACACTTTATTGAAAACAGAACATCACATTCATAAAAACATGTCCTCTTTTATCATCACCTGTTTAACTGACTGTCATATGAAACAAAGCTAGAGGCTACCCATCGTTAGCACCATGTTAAAACTCTGTTTGAATGAGTGTTGCTCTTTTCCTAATGCCTGGCATAGCATAACATCTTATCATTATTCAAAGTGGGAACATTACATGTTGGAAATCTTTCCGACAGTTGTTAATGTTCACTTTCCCTTTTGATCAATAACTGTTAAAAAACAAACAAAAAAGCTGCATTTGCTTCTGGAAGCGAGCAGGGGCTGCTTGCCTTTTGAACAGCAGTAAATTTATAGCCAGTCAATGATGACTCCACCCAAACCAAATCTACTGGAACTCTACGTCAATCATGTCCTGTCTGGTTTGTTGCACCCAATGCTGTACCACACTATGACGGTGATGAATCTCCTGCTCAAATGTTTTCATCTTCGTCCTCAGAAGGCAGGTGCTGCTCTCCCAGTTTTTCAGCATTCATCACATCGCTTCTTTACCTGCTCTCGTCGTACAGGGACAGCACACAAGGATTATGACTCACTGTCTGGAGTGAACTGTCAGGCCCCTTCAGACAAATCTAACCATTGGAGTCTCAGTTTCAGTTTCAGTTTCAGGAGGTTTGCTGTCTGTTCCATCATGGCCCTTGTGGAAAAATGGGCTGCATGTATCCATATTTAGCCTTAGTCAAAGGCTTGTGTAATGGAGTCATCAATCATGGTTGTGGAGGATAGCCCTTGTGTTCCAGAAACCATTCTTGAATGGCATCCAGCATTTGAAAAGAAGCAGGAACTTGAGAGTCATCATGAGTTTTGGCATCATGGCAGTTTCCAAAGTGCCTGGAGCAGACCTCTAGAATGTGGTATTGATGATGACAGATAACTTGGTATAAATATATCTAGATATTGTTGAGACCATCATTGCTTTTTCTTATTGTTGGTTTGGGAGTGAGAGCAGAACTTGAGAATTGAATTTTGAATGGCAGCTTATTTAAAACAAAAACACACAAACTGAGGTTTGTGTATGGGAACTGGCCTGCAAAAAATAACAAGTAAATTATTCTTGGAAAAACACTGCAGACGTTTTGGCACTAGGATGTATTACACTCCAGGCTGTTCAGCTGGATGGATGTTCAATTAGTCAATCAAGGGAAGGCCAGTTGAAAAAGAGAAGCTATTGATTGAACTGGTTTTGACTTTTTTTGGGCAGAAGGTAGCGTGCTCAGAAGCTGCTGGACTGGGCAGCTGCATTTGAGTTTTTCTCTTACCTAGTTTTATATTTAGTTAAAGAATTGTGGAATGTTCTGAGAACATAATCCCAGTTTAAGAAATAAGTGAATATTCCTGACAGCCTGTGTACATTGGGCAGTGACTTCAGAATTCAAGCAAGACACAATCCCATATGCCCGTAATACAATGCATCATTCAAAAAGTCCATAAAGGCCTGGTAGTCATTGTTGAAATGGCTATCAAATTGGCAAATTATTATTCCGTTATTTTTAAAAAAAAAAAATTATTCCTTAACTGTGTCTCTGATCCATACAACGGACTGGGCGTTACAGTCAAAGAAGATTGGATTTAAATCACAGGCAATATATCAGCTTACCTTGTCATTTAGCACTGCTCTGCTAAAATTACAGTGTTAATAATAAACTACTAATTTTTGTTTAAGCTACAAACTTGGTGTCAGAGATTGGTTATTCAAAGTTTAGATTAGGGACAACTGGACAATTTTGAGGGCCATTGACTATTTTCATTTCACTATGTTGCGAATCCAGTTATAGCAAAGTTCATTCAGTTTGGCTTGCTGGGTTGTAACAACGTATATATAATGCCCTGCACAAGGGAAGTGCTACCTACTGTCTGGGATGCAGTACTACCCTCGCCAATGTGGAGAAATAAGATGAAGGCCTACAACTTAGCTATGCCAGCCAACCTGAGGTGCCATCAATCCCTACTTTGCAGCCACTATGTGGGTGACCATCAATGACACTCACCTATGCTCCACAATAACATATGCCCTCCAATTTGGCACAATTTGTATTGTTAACAGCCATGAAACGTTTGTGGCTTGAGGTTTAAGAAATCCCACACAGGTGCCCAGTGGATCTTTAAAAATTTAGCACAGCCTTTACCTTGATGGCTATTGGGATAGCATGGCTACCCACCCCTTCAGGCTGCAAGTTTTGTTCCAACAGACAACAGCTTTGCGACTGTGTCATAGAACATTTTCAGTTCATGATGGCAACGTGTCTTGCTCTTGCGGAGAAAATAGCATGGAAGATGGTGGACTCCAGGCTTCCTGCACCTCTTCAGGATCCTCAGGGGATCTGCTGCGACGACTTCATGTGCAGGCTGAGCAGTAGCCACAGGTGGTTGCTGCTGGTCCTGGGCTTGTTGGACCATCAGTTCCTCCTCAATTTCTCTATATTTTTATCATACCATAGCCACAGCCATGACTGAAATCGCTGCAGCAGGGATTGTCAACATGGCAATATCAGAAACAAAACAGGTCCTTAGTAATGTGAGCAATCAGCAGTTTAATGACAGCTTAGCATTGTCCTTGTATCAATGGGTCATGGAATATCTGCAAATAGACGTCTGACATAGAGAACATTATACTGATGCACACACATAAACCATGCCATGCAAATACGTCAGGAGACTTTCTTGTGTGGTACAACTACTGAAACCCAAGAAAAGCAGCGTTGCTTACGAGCATTTGGTAAATACTTAATTTCCATGAAATCAGCTCCCCACCCTTGTGCAGCCTATGAAACATTGGACTGTCTTGGGAATTTTGGCTGCAGTTGACACTTGTAAGGTTGCCTGCGATTACTTCTGCTTCACAGAAGACCACAATCAATTTGTAAGGGCCAATCACATGTAAAGACTGCTCATGACAAGCATTTCTAGTCAACATATTTGGTTATTGCATGCATTTCACATGCAGAATTCAAAGATCTTAAAAACTTTACTGTGTAAGTGAATCGTTAATTGCCACTTGAAAAGCCTCACATCACTCACAAGTGGAGCCAGTGTTCCCAAATAGAAAAACAAACTTGCTCTGTTCACTTTCATGCTCCACGCATTCCCAGCCAAACATCCCCATCAGTTCTGAGCTTCTACACAATCCCACCCAAATCTTTCACTTAAATCTTTATCTCCCTATACTTCCCCTGACGCCCGGGACTACAGCTTAGGCATGCCATGCCAACCATCGTGATGCACTGCCAACCCTTTGCAGGCAGGATGGTGGTGACAGTCAGTGATACCTGCTCTACAATGACCTATGTCCTCAATGTACTGTTACCTACTGTTGAATTACCCCCTTCCCCCAATCCCTTCTTTTACAAGTATTGTTCCTTCTGCAGCCCAACATATTGCTTCAATCCTCACATTTGACTTGCTCAGTTACTGTCCCACAGAAGTGGCTCCTGATAACCATCTCTTGACTTCCAGATTCCCAAGATTGACTGGCTGAGCCAAGTGACCAAGTTGGACTGACTGAAACAACAATATTTAGATAAATGATGGCATCCCTGATTGATCTATACACAGCTCCTAATTGGCTCACCATTAATCCTCAGAGTGGTTGCCCTAGACCTGCAGGACTGGCTGTGGATTACACCTTGGACGGTAATCAGATGAAACTGCTGACCATGTCCAAGTTCTTGGACCAAGACCAGATGATGTCATTGACTGAACTGTGGCATCACTCCTTGACTGCTGACAGTCCCCATTCAGCAGTGATGATGAATGATGCAGTAATGAACAAAAGGCAAGCAGAGATGCTGTGAGTAAGCAAGCACTAAAACAGCAAGCCTGAGCTTAGTATGTCTCTGTGCATACAACGTGGCCGAGCAGCAGCACTGCAGTGAAGGGTGTCGATGTGCTCCGAAATGTGAAGTGGTAAACCATATTATAAATGACTCAGAAATGTGCCATGATGTGGAGAGGCTGATGGAGGTCATATATGCGAACTTCCATGGACAAAGGATGAAGGTAGAAACTGTGCATGGAGCACACCCCGAGATGTTGGGGAATGCTAACCAAGATGGAGTCCCGGAGGAGCAAGTGGCAAGCTCAAGGCGCCAGATACTCAGGTTCTTCATGTTGGGAATTACTGCCGTCTAGTTTCTCTCCACTGCCTGGGAAAATAGCAAACTGCACACAAGTGAGGCCAGATTAGGTAATAATGAGATGTCAATGCATGGAAGCAGACCAATACTAGCTGCTGTTAAACCCTTGTGTAAAATTGTGACTTTATTTGTACATCAAGAATATAATTTTTCTGATGTCACCAATTGAATCACCACTGCCCACATTGTTCAGGGGCTGCAAGGCTTTGGCCCATCATTTCAGATTGCTGAAAGGTCAATTGCACAGATGCTGACTGATTTGCTGAGTATTTATTATCATTTTCTATTATTATTTCAGTATGTGCAGTATTTCGCTTCTCTATATACGTGGAAGAGGTAGATTTCCTCCTGAAGTGACCAGACCATTTTCCTTAACAGTCAAAAATGTGTTTTGCCAGGATTTGAAGTAATGACTTTTGGAATGCCAATAGTTTCTCTTAATACATATTTTCATTAATATGTATTAAGAGAAACTATTGGCATTCCAAAAGTCATTAATACTCAGTACAGTTTAGACCAAAATATTTTCTGGGTAACATCCACTTAAGCAATTTAAAATAATTCAGTATGTGAAAAAAAAATTAAAAATGTTCAGCAGATGATTGAAAAGCATTGTGCCTGTATAACCTGAAATTCAAATCATTATTTATTTTACAAGGCAAGCTTTAAACTGCCATCATGTATCAGCTTATAAGCAGAATTTCATAAATAGGTACTTAGACATTTATACTTACGTTTGTAAAAAACTGCCTTAAACGTTACTTTTGGGAGAAGTTCATAAATCTTTTGTATAATAGTTACTTCATTTGTTCTAGCGGCATTTACATTCCAAACTTGAACAATGTCTTCACGATCCCTGACACTGACACTGACACCGACTACCTCATCATCTGGTCAGAAAAAAAATGACTACAATAAGTAAAAATTAAAGCTTGCATTCCTATATATCTGAAGTCTTTTAACTTAAGCACAAAGACATAAATCAAAGAATATCTAGCATGGACGCAGGGAGGATGCATATTGCTTGAACATGAACACCGTTGTCATCATTGGAATGTGGTTCCTGAGATTTCAAAGTCCTCACTAACATTAGCAAGTGAGATGCAGGCAAAGTTGATCATCCTCTCGTCCAGCAAAAAGCAAAAATAAAAGCATCCTGATCATCTTGGCGACAATGGCTTTATAAGTCTCTTTTAAAATTAGCCTCTTTGTTACATCACCCATAATCAATCTTAGATGAGATATTACAAGATTTCCACAGTGTTTAAAATCAACATTGAAAATTTAAATTGCTCTAGCAGATAAATGATATTTTAAAAAAATGACTAGTATGAATGCTATACTGTTTCATCATTGGCCATGAATGTAAGTAAAGGAGTGATCAGTCAAGGCAAATGTGGGGAGTGAGGGAAAGGAACAGGCCTGGACAAGAGGGTGTGGATGAAACCAAATGGGGGATAAATGGTATTCAACAACCAAGGCATATAACAGAGCAGTAAAGGAGCTGAAGGACAGCAATGGGATACCCAAGTATGGAACAGCAGATGGTGCTGCTGGCAATGGGGTTGACAGTATGTCATGCAACATTATAAAAGCTACGTAAATGACTATGCTGTTTGCTTTAGTACTTTTGCTGGGTTTTATGCGGGGAGCACTTAGAGACTAAATTTTTTTCAATCTGTGCAAATGGTCCTGTTTTGAAAAGACTGACTACAAAGGGGAGTTAAATCAGACATCAGCATGAATTTAATGTATCTGTTGTAAACAATAGCCATTATACAAAAGGAAGGAGGGAAAAAATTTATCCTTGCTTTCTCAGTTGATAACTTATTTTAATCACAAAACAGAAATGATGGCAGACTGAACCAGAACAAAGTGATGATCAACAATGCAATATGGCTGCCATGGCCCACGAAGTCACCTGGCGGTGACAGTCATGGAGATATACAGCAGGGAAACAAAGCCTTTGGTCTAACTTGTCCATGCCAACTGAATATCCTAAAAAAATCTAGTCCCATTTACCAGCATTTGGCTTATATCCCTCTAAACCCTTCCTATTCATACACCCATCCAGATGCCTTTTAAATATTGTAATTGTACCAGCCTCCACCACTTCCTCTGGCAGCTCATTCCATACACACACCGACCTCTGCATGAAAAGGTTGTCCCTTAGGTCCCTTTTATATCTTTCCCGTCTCACCCAAAACCTATGCCCTCTAGTTTGGGACTCCCACACCCTGGGTACAAGATTTGGCCTATTTACCCTATCCATGCCTCTCCTGATTTTATAAACCTCTATAAGGTCACCCCTCAGCCTCTAATGCTCCAGGGAAAATAGCCCCAGCCTATTCAGCCTCTCCCTATAAGCTCAAACCCTCCAGCCCTGGCAACATCCTTGTAAATGTTTTTGCAACCTTTTCAAGTTTCACAACATCCTTCCCATAGCAGCGAGACCAGAATTACAATCAATACTCCAGAAGTGGCCAAACAAATATCCTGTACAGCCACAACATGACCTCCCAACTCCAAACTCAACGCACTGACCATTAAAGGCAAGCATGCCAAATGCCTTTTTCACTATCCTGTCTACCTGCGACTCCACTTTCAAGAACAATGAACCTGCACTCCAACGTCTTTGTGTTCAGCAACACTCCCCAGAGCCTTACCATTAATTGTACAAGTCCTGCCCTGATTTGCCTTTCCAAAATGCAGGTGGAGGATGGAAAAAAGTTGTGGCTGTAAGGAGCTGCTCCTTTTTGTTAGAGGTATTTTCAGTGTTGGAGCGGATTTCCTTGAATTCTAGGAGCAGTTTAGAAGTTGCATTGTTTTGGAACTTTGGCAAAAGAAGATCAAAACAACAGCACTTTAAAAAAGGAGGAAGGGAGACAAAGGCAGCGACCACATTGTGGGAAGTGAATCAACAGAGAAAGAAACCTACACTGCTGTCTGACCCAGCAGTGAACCTTCACAACTACTGCATCTGACAGGAAGGAAGCAGCTGCACACATGCCTGTGATACCACCATCTTTCATGAATGGTGATATCATCATCAGCATGTGTCACGGACAAGGGGTTGGAGAGGCAAGACGGAGGCTGGGGCCATGACAAGAGCAGGGGAGTGGGAGTCTGATGGTGCAAGGCTGGGGCTAGGAGACCTAAACAGAGAGTGGGCTGGAGGCTTGCATCAGGGGCAAGGGTGGGCATGATGCCTGCATGCCGTGCCAGGTTCTCTCTTTTTGCATGTTAGTGATAGAAATAATGGGAAAAATTGGGACGGGATTGGGAAAGAGAGGGAAGCTGCTTGGAATAAATAAACTTTGTTTACTTCATCATGTAGGGTACTTTATTATACATCCTACAGGGCCATCTTAAGACAGGCAGCTATCTTAATTGCTCGAGAATATCATCAGTTTTCTGAGCCAACCAGAAGTGGTGTTCATAGGAACCTCAGCTGAACCAGAAAGCTCACAAATGAAAGATATATACAGTCAGATATATTTACAAACCGAAAGAAAATGTATAGGAAAGAGGTTGAATGTCTACTAACCAGGGTTTGAATCTCTTTCATCAACGTTGGTTGGACAAAAAAAAGTGCATTTGCCTTCCTCTGATTCTTATGGCCAATTTTCTGATGGAGGATCCTCCAGAACTCAGACAGCTCAGAAAATCTTGGAGACATCAGTTTCGGGAATATATGTAGAACACATGCTCCCTTTTTATGGCATTAGTTGATATATCTGGTGTTTCCTAATACAATGAAAAGCTCTGGGATATTTGAAAAAATTTTCAATGCGTTAGTAAATGGGTTTGCCAGTGAATGGGTGAGTAAATGGGTGAATGTCTATTTACACCAGTAGGTCAGACAGCTGGGTCAGTGGTTTGGATGGGTGAGCTGAGTTGGTAATGGGGTGTAGTGGCAGTTAGGTGGGATGGTGAAGAGAGGCTGGGGTGGGAATTGGGTGGTAACAGACTCATGGGGGAAAAGCAGAAGTAGGAGCTGTGGTTAATTAATCCATTCTTAAATTTTTTGGGAGGAGGGTTAGGTGGGGAGAATAACTGGACAAAGCAGGTAGAGTTACATGTTTTACATACGCCTTCCAAGAGTATTCTTCAATGAGAATACAAGTGAAATGATCTAAAAACATGTATGGAAACCACTGCAGTTACTATTTTCAGTTTTTTTATTGAAAGGTATTCCTTTCTCAGGATATACAAAACATTAGCCTAAGTAAAAAGAAGAGGAAAGTTGGTCCCTAACTAATATGCAATATTTCAAATGCCTAACTCTAATCTTAAATAAACAGTGACTAAAAACACCAAATAAAAAAAAACATTAAGACGAGTCTTACCTTCTGTACAACAATCTACAAACTGTTCACCAATCGTGGCCAGTAATAATTCTTTCCAAACAGCAGTCTATCGTAAAAAACAAAAAAAAAATTAGACATCCCTTTTTTACGACTTAATATTAAGAAACTTCCATACGCATGCTCAGCTATGTCAGACAATGTCAAATAGATTTTTTTTTAAAGTAGAGAATGAAAATTGCAAAGATTTACAATGCTGGTTGAATTTCTTTGGACTGCAAAGGAATACGCTGAGTCGAAATGAATACAAGACAGCCAAAATAAATATCATATTATTAAGGATAATATTGGTAAAATAAAAACAATTTGTATAAATTCTACATTTATACATGTTCTATGGCATTAAAATAATTGAGAAAGTAAACTATAATAAAAAGGTAAGAAGTTTACAAATGGATAGGAACACATTAGGTGAAACAGGCCAAATTTTGGCAAATGGAGCTTAATGTGAATAAGTTATTCATTTTTGTTGGAAGATTAGAAAGGCAATTTATTACCTAAGTGGAGAGAAACTTCAGAGTGCTTCAATACAGAAGGATCTGGTGATCCTCTTGTATGAATCGCAGAAAGCTAGTATGTAGTCACAGCAGGTAATAAGGAAGGCAAATAGAATTTTGGCATTTATTGCTAACGGAATAGAGTATAAAGGTAGGGAAGTATTGCTGCAGCTGTACAAGGCATTAGTGAGAACACATCTAGGAAAGCATGTACAATTCTGGTTCCCTTACTTGAGGAGGAACATAATTGCATTGGAGGCAGTTCAGAGGAGATTCACTAGATTGATTCCAGAAATGAGGGTTTGTCTTATAAGAAGAGATTAACTAGTTTTGGCACATGCTCTAGAGTTTAGAAGGATGAGATCTAATTGAGGCACATAAAGATACTAAGGGGGATTGACAAAGTAGACAGACAGAGGATGTTTCCTCTTGTGGGGCAATCTAAAACAACAGGTCATTGTTTTAAATCTGCTACCGTTTACCCTAAAACCGAGATGAAAAGAAATTACTTCTCTCAAAGGGTCCTGAATCTGTTAAATTCACTACGCCAGACTACCGAAAATCCGAATTGAAGTCCCCTAAGGAAATATTTAATTTTGCACAGGCCCGACCAATATTCGAGGAAGGTGGTTTTGGAGGAACTCTTCCATGCTTTTTGAGAAACTGGCCAGACAAATTAATTGGGCAAAAAGGAGACTGGACACTGCTCATGCAGAGCAAGTAGGCAGGTAAAGCACAGGAAGTTTATGCTTCACTATCAAAGGAGTTTCTTAAGATTATAATGCTGTTTTAAACAAAACTATACTGAGTTAAGGCCTGAAGCATATAGGCAAAGATTCCGATACTTAAGGGAACAGCCTGGACATACTGAATTTGAAATGGTTAAGGAAAGTAATTGTGACAGGTGCATACAAATATTAGAGATTATTTTCAGACGAATTTAAGGACTTATTACCCTCCTTCATAAGAACCCATGTTGAGGACCAAAGGGTTGCAACTACTAGACAGACAGCAGTAATTGCTGATAATTATGAGCTTAATCCATAAGACAACCGTTTCTCTGTCACACTCAAATTCGAAAGAGAAAAGAAATGGGAGAGTCAAAGGAAGACAAACAGCCAGGGTAAAGAATGGCTAATTGGTAATAGCCTCCTCAGATAAGAAGGGAAGGTACTGAGGATGGAAGTGTAAATCAGAAACCAAGGTGCAACAAGTTTGGACATATTCATTCAGAATGTTGGAAGTTGAGGAAAACCCACAGGCTTAATTGGAGCTTATAACAATTATTCCGAAAATGCAACTCAAAAAGGGAAATGGGCACAATTCAGATTGCAGCTATAACTACAACTAAGAGACTAGAAGTAAACACTAGTAGGAGTGCAGAAGTATTACATACAGTAGATGAGAGGGGTGAAGGGCTATCGTCTAAAAGGATAATAACCCCTTTTCTTCAATGGAAGCATCCAAGCCCTTAACAATACCAAGGAATATAGAGACTATTCAAACTCTCTTGCTAGAGAAGGATTTATTTTTCCCTCCAGAGACTTCAATGAAAAATAAACTGTTGGTTCAATTGTACAATGTCCAATTAGAGTGAGATCTGTTGTCTGGACCAGTGGATGAACTTACACACAATGGACTGAATGGGAAAACTCAACACATAATTAAACCAGCAGCTTTGATACCTTTTACCAGTTTTTGAAGAACCCTTTAGTCAAGTATTAGCGGATTGCATAGTACCATTACCAAAAATGAAAGCAGGATATCACTAAATCATGACAATTATGGAAATGACAATCCGATTCACATAAGCTATTGAGAACAATTACATTTAACATAGTAGCAGAAAGGTTAGTTCAGTTGTTTTTTTACTAATGCAACTTACATACAATCTGATTAGAGCTCTAACTTTACATCTGAAGTTTTCCAGAAAATCACAATACTTTGGGTATAAAACAATTGACATCAACCTCATATCACACACAAACACAGGGAGCTTTGGAGAGATAACATCAGACTCTCAAAACCACAATTAAGGCACACTATCATGGATACCCACAGGACTGCTGTCATAGATTCTCTAAATGAATACACCAGATTTACTCCATTAGACCGGAATTGTGAGAAGGACTTGAACAAAAAAAAAAGACAAACCCTCAATGTTGGATTACATGTCTATACTTCTAGAAAGACTCACAGAATCACATAGGGTAGCACAAGAACACTAAAGTTTTACAAGCAAAAATGATAGAATGAGCAGATAAACATTCAGCAACTTAATCACTTCTAGCAGACAAAATAGTATTAGTATTGTTCCCTTTGCACGGTGAATCTCAAAGCGAAATTCTGTGGTCTATACAAAGTAGTTAGGAGGGTTAGTAAACAGACTTATTTGGTAAGTGTCTTGATTGTAGGAAGCAGAATCAGTCAGGTCACATTAACATGCTGAAAAGGCATTACAGTAAGGAAGAGATTAATGAGAAACAATCGTATCAGGTGGCAAGAGTAACGGAAGTTGACAGAAACAGTAAGAACGTGGTGAATGGAGGATGGAGAATGCACCGAACAAATCTCTGTTATGAGCTAGCTAACACAGAAATACTGGGACAGATAGATACTGCGTTCTCATATTTACAGGAAGGACAAAGAAGGATCTTGTAAGACTACACATTAAGTGTAAGGTTATGTATAGAAAGCCATCTGGATGTACTACATTAGCTAGGCATGATGTGGATGCAGCAGGGTCAGGACCAATAAAACAGCATTCTTATCAGTTGAGCCTAGAAATCCAGTTTGTGTGGAAACAGATTCAATATATGTTGGAAAACCACTCGACTGAAACCAGTCAAAGCAACTGGAGTTCAGTCGAGTGGTGTTGATTCCTAAACAAGATGGACCAACAAGTTTTGTATAGACTACAGAAAGGCAAACACGGTGACAAAGACACATGCATACCCAATTCAATGGTTAGAACGCCATATTGATAGGGTTGGCAGTGCCTCATACCTTTCAAACATTGACCTATTGAAGGAGTACTGGCATATTCCAATTTCAAGGAATAAAGAAATATCTGCTTTGTCACACCAAATGTGTTATACCAATTTTAGGTGATGTCATTTGTGTTAAAAAACACCTCAGTGACACTTATAAGTTGTAGTAGTTTATAGTAATACATGGGAAGAGCATGTGAGATCAGTAGAAGTTCTGCTTCAGCAATTACAATTGGCGGGCCTAAGTAATAAATTTAGCCAATAGTCAATTGCTGAACAAGAGTAAGAGTAACTTAGCTCGGACATATCATAGAATAACAACAATGCTGCCAAGTTCAGCCCAAATAAAGACTCTGATAGAATTCCCTATTCCTAAAACTAAACGAGAAGTCATGAGATTTTTAGGAACATATGGATTTTACTGGAAATTCGTCAGTAATTTCAGCATGATAGCTGTATCTTTAATGTATTTGTTACAGAAATAAGCAAAAGTGCAGCAATCAGCAGAATGCCAGATGGGGAGGTGAAGGTATGATCATTGAATTATTAATCTAAAGACCCAAATAACGTTTTGGGGACCAAGGTTCGAGTTGCGACATGGTAGATGGTAGAATTTGAAGTCAATTAAAGAAACTGGAATTAAGAATCTAATGATGACCACAAAAACATTTTCAATTGTTGGAAGAACCTATTTGGTTCACTAAATGTCCTCTTGTGAGGAAACTGCCATCCTTCCCTGGTCTGGCCTATGTGTGACACCAGATTCATAGCAATGGGGATGATGCTTTAACTGCCCTCTGACTAATTAGGGATGGACAATAAACGCTGGGCTAGCAAGTGTTACACACAATCCTATGAATTTTTTTTTAAAAAGCAGCCTGAGAGGAGCTTCAGAGGTAGATGTAATCTTATTCCAGGATAAGGAGTTGGGGATAATTGGGCAATTCTCTAATAAACCAAACCAATTTCAGAAACAGTACACAACATATAGAGAGATACTTTGGGATCATTATTTAAAGTCTATGTTTGACAATAGTAACAAGAAAACACTAATTTGCACTGATCATAATCCACTGGCCTTTTTTGTAAAGTTCAGAACTCAAAAATCAAGACTATTTGGGTGCAATCTCATTTCAAACAATTGATATGAAGCTTATTCACATTGCTGGAAAAGATAACACACTTGGAAATGCATTGCCTCAAGCGTAAAATGTTGTGATAAGCTAAAGGTTTAAGAAATTATAAGGTTGCATAAGGAGGAAGGAAGGATAAATGGATGCAAGAGTTGTAAGCTGCTCTTTGTGCATCAGTTATTTTCTGATGACACACTCCTGTTCAATGAGGTTGGGGCGTGGTTCGGAAAGCAGGAAACTACAGGCCAGTTACACTAACATCTGTCATTAGGAAATGCAACAGTCCGTTATTAAGGAAGAAATAGCAGGACATTTAGAAAGCTTACTGTAATCAAATAAATCAAAACAGCTTTGTGAAAGGGAAGCCCATGTTTGACAAATTTGGTCTCGAGTACTTTCAGCATATAACAAGCAGCATTCATAAAGGGGAATTGGTAGATAGAGTATATTTGCATTTCCAGAAAGCATTTGCTTAGGTACCACACAAAAAGGTTATTACATGATCAGAACTGTTATGGTGTAGATGGAGGCCATTCAGCCTCCTTTGGTGCATGCACTGTCTCTTCAAATGAGCATCATTACCTAGTGCCAGTCTTTTGCTTTTTCCCCTCCCAAAACCCTTGCACATTACTTCTATTCTAACTAATTATCTAATGCTCTCTTGAACGCTCAATTGAAACTGCCTCCGTCACATTTTTAGACAGTGAATTCTATATCTTAACTACTTACTGTGTGCAAAAGGTTTTCCTCACATCATCCTTACTTCTTTTGAACATCACTTTAAATAAAGTCCTTTTGTTATTGTTCCTTTTATGAACAGGAACAGCTTTACCTTATCTAATCTATGTAGTCCACTCATGGTTTTGAAAACCTCTATCAAATCTCTCAGTATTCTCTCCAAGAAGAACAGTCCCAATTTCTTTAATCTGTCCTCATAACTGAACTTTTTCATTCACGGAGCCAGTCTTGTAAATTGCGTGTGAACTCTCTCTAATGCATTCATACCTTTTCTATAATATGGCACCGGGACAATACATTCATAATCGCACAAGGCAAACAGAGACCCGCCAGGGAATTCCCGGAGGCCTGGTATTCTAACCGGACTTCCATCAACAAAAACATTGAATTAGACCCTGTGTACAACCCACGGAGAAACAGAACCGGAAGTGGTACCAAACACCCCAACAAACTGAGGCATATAAATAACTAGTGGGACAGAACACCGATGCTTCACCGGAGGCACACTGACAATGTTACCTAGCAGGGTGACGAAACATTTGTAACCAAACCCACTGGTTCGGCGAGCCGGTCTGCAACCTCATCCACAACCCAAGCTACAAATCTTCTTGAAAACTTTATAGCATCCACAATTGTCCATAATACTTCAGCTCAGGTCTAACAAGTATCTTATAGAAGTTCAACATCACTTCCTTGCTTTTGGTACTCTATGCCCCCATTAATAAAGCAGAGGACACAGTATACTTTATTAACTGGTTCGGAGATAGTAGGAAC